AGGATCCCCGGTCTGGTCCCTCCATCCACTGAGTCTTTCGAGGAGTTGCTGGCTAAACACCCTCAGGTTGCTACTCCCAGTCTCCCTCCTCCTCTTTCTCCTCCCTCTCTCCACCCTCCCTCTCCTGTTCCTGCTTCTCTCTCTCCTCCCACCGTCTCCTCCCCGTCTCTCCCCTCTCCTCCTCCCCTCCCTCCCCCCTCTTCCTCTCCGCCTTCTCCTTCCTCCCCCAATCTTCTGTCTTCTCTCTCCCTTGCTCCCCCTTCCAATCCTTCTCCTCTCTCCTCCCCCCCTTTGTTCTCTTCTCCCCCTCCTTTGGTCTCTCCTCCCATCTCATCTCCTCCTTCCTCCCCTCCTGTTTTCTCGCCCGCCCTTGTTCTAAAGTCCATCAGGTCATTCCCTATAGACTCTGCCCCTGGTTCGTCCGGCCTCCGTTCTAACCACCTTAAGGAGGCAGTTTGCTGCCCGTCTCCCTGCAGAGCTCAATCTACCTTGGCCAGCTTAGCTCGGGTCGTCACACTCCTTGGTTCTGGCTCATGTCCCCCTTCAGTTATTCCCCATCTCTGTGGTGCCTCCCTTTTAGCCTGCAGGAAGAAGTCTGGTGGGGTTCGCCCTATTGCGGTTGGGGAGGTCCTACGTCGTCTGGTTTCCAAGTGCTTTTCTTCTTCTGTTAAGTCGCATGCTGCATCAATCCTTTCTCCTCATCAGGTAGGAGTGGGAATTCCCAATGGGGCTGAAGCTATTGTCCACTCCATCAAGCTTCTCCTCTCAGAGTCATCTATTCCCCCTGGCTCTAAGTTCTGTTTGTCTTTAGATTTTTCCAATGCCTTTAACACCATTGATAGGTCTGTCCTCTTCAAGGAAATCCGGTCTCGTATCCCATCTCTCTCCCGATGGCTTGAATGTTGCTATGGAGATCAGCCCCGCCTTCTCTTTGGTGATTACACCATCCTTAGCTGTTGTGGAGTCCAACAGGGTGATCCTCTTGGCCCCCTTGCCTTCTCCATCCTTCTTCTTCCTCTCATTGAAAGGATCAAGGCTGAAGTCCCTGAGCTTCTCCTTCACGCTTGGTACCTTGATGATGGTATCCTTTGTGGCTCACCTACTGCTCTGCTGAAGGCACTTGATATCATTGATGAGGTTGGACCCTCCCTTGGCCTCTCCCTTAATCAATCCAAGTGCCTTATTTTTGCCCCGCCAGCCTCCCTGCCTTCCTCGGTCCCTCTTCCTGATAACATTCCCTTCACTTCAGATGGCTTTGTTGTTCTGGGTGCTCCTGTGGGCCCTCCCAACTTTTGTGTTTCTGTCATTAGGATGCGAATTGAGAAAATCTTCTTTGCCATTGAACCTCTCTCCCTCCTTGAGGATGCTCATTCAGAATATGTCCTCCTTCGGTCCTGTTTGAGCCTTCCTAAACTTCAATGTGTTCTTCGTTCCACTTCTCCTGAAGTCCTTCTCTCTATTATTGGTACGTTTGATGAGCACATAGCCCTGTGCCTGTCTAATTTAATTGGAGGTGGCCTCTCTCCTTGGTCTCTTCTCAAGGCTACTCTCCCTGTTCGATTAGGAGGGATAGGTCTTCGTCAGGCTTCTCTTCATGCTCCTGCTATTTTCTTGGCCTCAGTGTCTGCCTGCTCTCCTCTTATCCTCTCCCTTTCAGGGTTGGAGGTGCCCTCTTCTTATTTGGACTCAGCCCTTGCCCTTTTTGCCACTGCCTCTAACAGGGATGAGCTCCCCTCTC